AATTACAGCACATTCTCTGTTTTATCCAAATTGTTTGTTTTAAAACAAGTATTCCTTAGTTTAGTATCCGCACATCGTTTTAGTATACATTTTTTAAAACATATATTGTGGCAGTCATAAGGAGCACACACGATTGACTGTAAACATGTCTTTATTCCACGACTGCCGACAAGTGGATCTATTCTGAACAAGGACAGAATAGTGTCCGCCATAATATTTATTAAAAGAAAAATAAATAAAAGTCCGCGAGAGAGAAGCCCGACCCGAACCTGTTTTACTTCCGCATTCCTGTCGTTTTGGTCCGCAGCAGAAACTGCACGTGTGACCGCAAGTGGAGCTGCGCCGACGCTGTGCCGGTGCTGTTACGCTCAGCGGCTTTGCACGTGTGACTGCTCCACAAAATTTGCTCCGGTGTAAAATATATCGCAACAAAATATTTCGGTGCAGCGTCGGACCAAATGTGTGCCATGTGAACAGGGCTTAAGACATAAATCTTAATACTGAGGAAATACTGAAAATCCCCTTCCACTTGAAAACAAAAAAATAAGATAAAGCAACAAGTGAGCTAATTGGTGCTTTGCAGTAGCATCAAATACAACACTTCAAGATGATGATTGAGCGCAGCGGAACCACAGGTCACAAACTTAGTTCATTCCGAGACTCTGTTCGTAAAGCCAAAGTAATTTCTTCCATTAACATGAATAGAATTGGAATTAATCGATTCCAGCTCCAGAAGTTATGCTGAATTTGTCTTGATGAATGTCCTTAAAAATAATGTAAATAAATTGGCACTGAGAGCTAATTTCCAGCAAAAGACAAAGATACCAAAAAATCTGTGATACAGGGAGCAAACAATGTTTACACTGTGTGAGAGAAAGCACAACACAGCATTTCACGTGGCTGCTGTGACTTGCTCACGCACTGGAACATAGTTCTCGAACCGAAGTAAGTTGAAAATCTTGTTCGCAAAACCATTTGTTTATGAACATGTTCCACGGGGAACTTAATATATTTAAGTGAGGCGAGAGCACTTGCAGGGGCACTCTGGACTCTGGAAAAACTCATTCCAAAACACAAATTCCGGAAAATATATTTTTTAAAAGTTCTGAAAACCCCAATAAACAACAAATAATAACCAATGACAGTAAACAACAATCCGACGCCGGGTTGTCGGCGTGGCAGAAATAAAACCAAATCTACTCGAAAGAAAAACAGAATCATGATGGTAAGTGTGCTCTAACACCGTGTGGATTGTCTAGAACAGAAAGCCTTCCCTCTCAATCCTTACTCACATTACTTCTCATTCCGGCAGGCTTTGCTTTATTCTTGTCAGCTGAGAGCACAATTTTCTTTGGGTTTTTTCAATCCCCAATTGTTTTTCTGTCGGTGTTGAAAATATTTGGCAGCTTTTGCTCGTGAATGCATACAATAGGTTCCATGTCTCCAATGCAAGGAGTGTGGTGTTGTGCTAATGATGTCTACAAAAAACACGAATACCCACCCACCAACTTCCTTGTGGCCCCACCCCCACATCTTGAGGCAACATTTTTGAAAATATTTGCTTTGTTTTATTTTTGCAGCTATTTTTTTGTTCGGAAATCATAATGTTGATGGGGGGGGGGGGGTTCCCCATCACTCAGACCTTCAAAATATAATGTAACAATAGTATGATTTTGTTTGATTAATGGTCACTCGATTCTGTAACACCTTATCACAGGATTACTGACGATAATGTTAAGTGCGCAGGCCGATGTGATGAAAATATGTAAAATATGTACATCGCTGTAAATAAAGAGAGCAGAATGAGGACACTGAGGTAGAGTGTCACATTCACAGTACGGCAAGTGATAAGGGACATATTGCAACGTCCATACATTAGGGTTGGAGTAGACCAGGGTTCGACAATTCAAAGAGTGAATCTGTGCCTGTTCCATATGGATGAAAAACACAAACCCCTTTTGACATCTAATATAAAGAGAGGCTTTATTTTTCCTCTTTATTTTCACCACGAGCGGGTTGGCAATTTCTGTGCGATTCGTCAGTGCATCCACCATATTGGATTTGGCTATTATATAGTCACAATATCAGCAATTTACATGTAAAATGTTGTTTAGAATGGCCTAATAATATCAAAATTAATGGTTCAGTCTTAATCTCATGAGTTCTGGCTTTGAGTGTAAATGGTTGATACATCTCCAAGTAGCAAATGAACAAGGCATTTTCACTGATTGATTCGCTTTCCAGCAGTTGTACAAGAATAACAATGGTATCATTATTTCGTTCACAGAATTCCATTACATAAACTTGTATATGAAGTATATGAAAATGAATTTTGAAGAAAAGGTCAGTGAATGGACTTGTCATTAAATGAAAAGAAAATCTTAATAGCAAACCTTAGGTGAGCAATGCAAGTTATGCATGGAATTGTCAATTTTATACACAACCTAAAGTCACGGGTCATTAAAAAAATAAATAAAAATAAAAAGAATACAAACAGTGCAACATGAATCGAACATCTATCCATCCATTTTCTTATCCGCTTTCTCTTCACAAGGTTGGCGGGGGGTGCTGGAGACTATCCCAGCTGTCTTCGGGCACTCGGCGGGGGACACCCTGAACCGGTTGCCAGTAAATCGCAGGGCACACATAGACAAACAACCATTCACACTCACACTCACACCTAGGGACAATTTAGAGTGTTCAATTGACCTACGGTACAAGTTTTTGGAATGTGGGAGGAAACCGGAGTACCGGAGAAAACTCACGCAGGCACGGGTGAACATGCAAACTCCACACAGGAAGGCTGGAGCCGGGATCGAACCAACGCCCTCAGCACTGTGAGGTTGACGCGCTAACCACTTGACGACCGGGCCGCCTTGAATCAGACATAAATGTGTTAAATATAACGCAGCGTCAGCTGTCGGTGACACAAACATGCATTGAACAATCACGGCTCACATTTTTTCTGAGTTTGGTCATGTGAGTTTCGCAAGCTCAGCTGTGATTGGTCGTTACCTGAACAACTGTGATGTCATTTTCATTCGACAGCAAGTGGCAAAATGGTTGCCCACTGAGATGGATAAACACAAGTGGATGTTGGTGGATGTTGCTGCTTAATTCATATTCCACAAACGCAATATTAATCAGAATCATATGTTTTGGCCTTTCATCTAGAACTGCTTCAAACAACAAAGCGTATGAGGGAAAAGTGGTTAAGATTGCACAACTGTTTGTGATTTTATGTTGTGTGTTGTGTTTCTTATTTACATTATGT